TCTTAAAGTATCCTAATTTTTTTTTCTTTTTGCTGTTCCAATTGGGTGTTTTCTACTACCTTGTCTTCCAAATTGCTGATTCGATCTTCTGCTTCATCTAGTTTGCTGGTGATTCCTTCTAGTGCATTCTTTATTTTAATTATTGTATTCTTCACTTTTAAGTGATTCTTTCTTATGGTTTCTATATACTTTTTTTTATGCTTGCTATCTCTTTGTTCAAGTTCTCACTAAGTTCCTTGAGCATCTCTTGGTCATTGTTTTGAACGCTGTATCTGGTAGTTTTCTTGATTCCATTTTATTTAATTCTTTTTCTGGAGTTTTCTCCTGTTCCTTCCTTTGGGACATATTTGTTTCCTTATTTTGGCAGCCTCTCTGTTTCTATGTATTAGATAGATCTGCTATATCTCCCATTCTTACCAAGTGGCCTTATTTAGTAGGTGCCCTGTGGGGCCCTGGCACAGTTTCCCTGGTCACTTGCTCTGGGTGTTCGAGGAGTTTCCCTTGTGTGGGTTGTGGGTGCCCTACTGTTATAGCTGAGCCTTGATTGCTGTTGGCATGTCAGTGGGTGGGATTGACCCTCAGGCTGACTGGCTCTGGGGTTTGGCCATGCCCACAGCTTATGGGCTGCTATGTGGGGAGGGGGGACTTTCACCACTGAATGGTATTCATCCCAGATGGCACTGGTGCCTGTTGAGTTGGCCCTTTGGGTGTGCTACTTGTGGGGCTAATTGGTTAGTACTCTGCTGTGGTCTGAAGCCAACCTCCAAGTATGTTGGTTATGGGGCCTCTTAGGAGGGGCTGCAGTGCAGGCCCAGGTCAGCCACTGTCTGTGACTGGCCAGGGATTACCCTGGTGGGAGCTACAAAGAGATCCATGGTTGTTTGCTTCCTGTGCTAAACCTGGAGGCATGTAGGCGAGGCCATGCTGTGAACTGAGGACAGCTGCCACCAGTACCGGGCCTGGGATAGCTCTGCAAAAAGCAAGGACACCCCAAGGCCTGCTTCCACCTGCTGGTTCCCTTAAGTTTCAGCTACTGATAAAGCCTTGTACAGTACGTGAGTTGGGTGAGGCAGAGTCTCATGGAGTCACCAGAGTGGGAAGAGTTGTAGTCACCAGATTCATGTAGATTATGATTTGGTGCCAGTTCTGAGCCTGGTACCACTCAGCAAAAGTCTCAGAGCACATGGAGGCCAGTTGCTGCCCACCTGGGGCAAGTGGACTTTGGTAATTTTCCAAGAAAGAGTGAAATTCAGGCAATGCTGGCTGCTCACAGTGAAAGTGCCTCAGGCATTGGGGGTGTTGGGTGAGGGCAGGGTCCCAGCAGAATCATTAGGGTGGAGCCAGTGGAGCTCACTGACCAATTCAGATTCAGATTTGTCCATGGGGATGGGGGAGGGGTCAACACAAGAAAGATGGCTCTCTGCCATCTGCACAGGAGAAGGCCTCCTCACAGGGGAAATGGCAACTGTCTTCTAGCCCTTGCCCAAAGCCACAAACCTCAGTCTGCCCCCCACATAGCTCTGAAGCCCTCTGAGTCACCATCCCTCCACCAGAGCCCAAGGTGAGTGCCTGGGAGTAAGAGACTCTGTGCGCAAGTTGTTGGAGAGGACATATGGGTTTTTTCCAGACTTCTGTCCCACCCATATGGTTGGAATCCCCACTGTTTTTTTACAGCCAGTTGTAGGAGCTCCTCTTCCCAGCACTAGTAGTCTGGGCCGGGGAGGCTAGTGTGGGCCTGGGGTCCCTCGCTACTCTCGGGGGAACATCCTTGGCTGAGATATCTCTCCTGATTCTCAACCACCACATGGAGGCTGGGGGCCAGCCCATTTTGTGTCTCTGCCTCTCCTACCAGTCTCAACGTGGATTCTTTCTATCCTGAGTCATAAAACTTCTGTTCAGCCAGACTTCAGGTGGTTCTCCAGGTTAATTATTCTATAATTTAGTTGTAATTTTAATGTGTTCACGGAAGGAAGCAAGAACAGTGTTAATCTACTCTACCATCTTGGTTCTCTCCCGTCAGATACCCTCTTAACTCCTTCAAACATTTGCTCAGATCTTATCTTTTCAATGAGGCCACGCCTTACCAACTTCTATAATGTCACAGCTTCACTTTGCTCAAATTTGTCTTTTTTTTATAGCACTTTTTACCTATTAATATCTATGTTATTTACTTTTATGCTCATTGATTATTGTCTGTGTCTCCCCACTAGAATATAAGCTCCATAAATGCAGAGATCTTTATCTCGTCTGTCACTGACATGTCCCAAGCACCTAGAATAGTGCTTGGCAAATATTTTTGGAATGATTGAATTGTATTAGAGAGGAAATCTAAGTAATATGGAAATGTTAGCAGTTCCTAAGTTTGATATTCTTTATTACACTTAAAAGTTATAGTTATCCACTGCTGAATCTTGGTCACTTTATTAATGACTATTTCCATGGTACTTATCTTTAATCATGTATAATACACTTTGTTTTTATGCTATTTAAGTTAAAATAAGTTGCCTTTCAAAATTGGGCACTCTATTTATGACCATGCCTAGAGTCTGTGAGATTCTAATTCCAGTTTCCTAAGTGCCAAGGTACTCTAATTCCCAGTCTGATATCTTTGCAAATGCACATATATGCTTTCTAAATGCTTTTTAAAAGAAAATTAGCAATGTTCAGAATAATAATTGCCTCTATTGAGATAAAAGGGGAATGCCATTGAGAGAAAGTCAGAAGATATACTGGTAATATTTTACTTCTTAAGCTGGGTGATAGATATCCAGATGCTGGCTATACTGTTATTTATTATAATTTACATATACATCATACACCATATTTTGTATGTATGAAATACTTCATAATAAAAATGGAAGGAAAAAGTTAATCTAGTCTAGTGTTTACTTATTCTACTACCACTCTTTATTTTTCTCTCCAGTTTGATATGTTGTAACTCTCTGGACACAAATCTTCCAGCCAGTTTGTGGAAACATAAGTTGTAGACTCACTAAAGGGTTTTAGGTATAAAAATAATTAAAACATGATTGAAGAGGATTAGAAGTAAATAAAAATAATAATGTTTTTTGAAAGTAAGATGGTTTAAAGAAATTCAAAGTGGCAGATCAGTCATTTATAGCAATGGATTTTATAAATAGCTCATTTTAATAATAATATGAAAATATCTAGAACTTTTTATTTATAAGTGAAAACAGGCAAAAAACCAAAAAACCCAAAAACCAGTGGGTGATTGGTATACATTCTTAGGATATAAAAATACAAAAAATTTAATGGATACTACATACCCTATAAGTAATGTGTTTAAGGTTTAAAGTAACTAAATAATAAAGTAACCCATATTACAAAGTTATATATTTTGAAAAACAATTTAAAATATTTTAATCTAATATTGACCTGCTTAAGCTTGGGCACGTCAACTCCCTATGTCAGTTTGTCAATAGAATGGAAATTCTTACATATAGGCCAGAAATTGACTCTATTTTAAGAGGAACTTCTCAGAAACAAAAGGCCTCTAAAGTGTTGATATTTCAGAATCTAACCAAATGTTTTATTATTATTATTATCTCCATTCTCTTTTGTTAGTGGTCAGCAATTCTAACTTTGCCAGCATTCCAGAACAGGACAAATTCAAAAAGAATTACAGCAATTCCTCAATTGCTACTTTAATGACAGACATAATATAGTCCAATAATCTTACTTTATGATAAATTTTCTCAGGTCCAGAGAGATTAAAGCAACTTAATCAAGGTCATCTTTGTTCTAATTAAAGGCAGATATGGAACTAGAACTCAAGTCTCCCAAATACCCAGAGAAGGCACAGATATTAATATTATGAACGTGATTAAGTACTAAGAGTCTGAAGATGACGTTAAATTTCTTAAGACCTTTCACAACACATTGAGCAGACAGGAAATACCATCTGGAAATGTGATATATTTCTTAGTAGACTCTCTGTTAATTTTGTCAGCCAGCATTACTGTAAGACTGCCCATGTGCTGTTTAGTATTTCAGTGAGGCCAGAAGGAAAATTGCCACTGAAGGTTTATTCAAAGAGACAAAAAAATCTTTATCTAAAATTTCTGTTCAAAGGCCTAGAATTTATAATTAGTAGTAGCTAGTACCCTTGCCTTTGTTTAAACCACATTACACCAACAGAAATAGCATCCCCAGGAATAATAAATACATGTACCTTTTCCCTCTATGTTACTCCATTTCTTTTTCTTTAATGATCACATGGAAAGTTTTTTTTGAACTGCTTTGCTGTGAATGGCTAGGTAACAACGCATTTAGGGTTCCATATGGTATGAAGGATAAGAAATACCTCCCCAGGAGGAAAACAACAGGCACACTGGGCAGGTCTTCAGCCAGACCCCTGACTTAAGGTCCTCCAGAATATAAGGCATCCTACTTAGTTTCCTTCAGTCTGTAATACAGCACTCTGGACATTAATTTCCAACTCAAATTACAAAACTTGTGCTTGGTGTCTAAAGCTTTCCGTTATCTTATTTTAAAAGGAAAAGGGCAATAATTCGGAGGAAAAGTTATTAAAAAAAAACAACACAAACAGTTGTGTGAAACTTTTGAAGGGAGGAAATGCTCTTAAGATGAGTCAGAGCCTCTCAAATTTTCACAGGACTTGCAAGAATCCCTGCAGAGTTGGTCAGGCTCCTGTACCTGCCAGACAGGTGGAGGTTCATACCCGCGCTCGGTTTGACCTTGAAGCCATTTTCTGGGCAGGAAATCAAAACGGAAAACAGAGCGCGGGGAAGGCGACCCGAACCCCCAAAAGCCCGCGGAGCTAGGTCAAGTGCAGAGATCCACGATGGGGACCCCGGGACCCACGCCCCTCAAGGACGAAGCTGAACTGGGGTGCGCGAGTTCACCCGGGAACGCTGGATCGGGCCTTCGACTCCAGGGGCTTGACACATGGTCCCAAGACAGCCCCGAGGGTCCCGACTGCAGCTCTCAGCGATCCCGGGCGGGCCCGCGCTGCTTACCTTGACGGTTCTTTGAGGACTTGACGGAGACTTGGCTGGGTGCGGGACGGCGTCGGGGTACCGGCCAGGGAGGAGACTTGGTGCACTGGGCTGCACCCCGCTCAGGTCCGCGGCCTCGGGGAGGAAGTCGTCTCAGCCTTGCCCTTCCCCCGCAGCGCGCAGACTTGGGGCGCTCTCCGCTCTGCTTTGCATGGAGATGTGAGAGGGGCGCCTGGTTGGAGACACACACGGAGAAACACATATGGAGAACGACTCCAAAAACTCGCGGCTGCTCTGTCCGACTCATCGGGTTTGTGTCCCATTTCTTCTTACTTCCCCCCTCTACACCACAACCGTGAAGAAAAAAAACGTTTTTGTGTTTTTTTTTTTTTTTTTTTAAATTCTGGGAAAAGTTGTGCCTTCCTGTCGCACGCATTCCTCCCCTACCTGCGCCACGCGCCCTCTTCTCTTTGGAGCGTACCCTGGCGAATTGACAACCTTCTTTGTCGCCTCGAAATATTATTAGTGGCTAAGGGCTTTGGGGCCAGATGATGGTTCCATAAAAGCCCTAAACCCCGATTTCTTTCAAAACGGTCTTCCTAAGTGTTTACTTCAGCCCTTTCTGTGCTTCCTCTTTCGGGAGAGTTGTGCAAGGCCTGTTTCGCCGCCGCGCGTAGCCCGCCTGCAGGGGACCGGCGCGGGAGTGGGGCGGGGAGCAGCCCCACGCGTTCCGCCCGCCCTCCCCCTGGGAACGCGCCGCTGCCTGAAGTTAGTAGTCTCTGCCAGAACCTGGGGAGAGAGGGTGGAGAGGTTGAGGGGTAAGGGGTGGGGAAGGGTGCGCTCAACAGAGGCCATTTCTCAACGATCAGATTGGCAAACCCCCTCCTCCCCAAAAGATTAACCACACTCAGTGGACGGGCGAGGCTGTGGCCTCTCACACATGGCTGGTGGAACTCCGAAATGGTATGAACCCTGGGGGGCGGGGGGAGGCGGGGTGCACTGGGCAATAGCTATTTAATTTACATATGCAATTACCCTTTGACCCAGCGATGCCACTTCTAAGAATGTATTTCAAAGATACAGTGAGGAAAAGAAGTAATACATATACACCAGGCCATTTTTGGCCGCCTGATTTGTAACAGCCAAGGACTGACTGGAAATAACCCCAGACTGCTGGAGTGGAGTGTTCTGAGAGGAAAGTGGAGAGATCCGAAAATACAGAAGTTAAAATCAGTTACGATGTGTAACTGTGGTTGAACGAACCTCTTCTTCCCCCATACAGCTGTGTCTTCAATATGTGAGGAGGTGGTGGAGACTTGAAGACATAAATTAGAAATGTAAATTAATTAGGTAATTTCAGATAGTTCAGTTATTTCTTTAATGAGAAACCATTGAGCACCTTCTCTTCTAAGAACAATGAAAACAAGTAGTGAAGGAAATAATTCTTTCTCTCATGGATGGTACATTCTAGTTGGGAGAAAACAATACTTTGATGTTTAACATGTCAAGTAATGTAAGTATTTTGAGGGAAGTTAGGAGGTGAGGGATAGACAATGATGGGAGTGGGGATGGAGTCTCTATACTAATTATTGTCGTCAAGGAAGATCTACCTGATAAGTGACACTTGAGCCAGACCTAAATGCATGAGAGATTAATCCATGTGGATTTTAGGATGAGAATATTCCAGGCAGACGGAATAGCACACTCAGGAGTGAGGAGGGCATGAGGTGTTGGAAAAACAGCAAGGAAGGGACTATTCTGGCTGTAGTAGGGACTTTACTGTGAGTGATGGGAAGCCACTGGAAGGTGCTGAGCAAAGTCATAGCGTTATATAGAAAGTCAAGTCAAACAATGGAGTGATTTTCATGGGAAAGGAAAAAAGGTCAGAGAACGCCTCTTTGCAAAGTAATGTAGAGGGGCAGTCCTTCAGAGACTTGGAAAGCTTTCCAAGAGAAGGGAGAGCAAGCAAAGGTCTTGAGGTAGGAAGGCAGAAGATTAGAAAGAACGACAGTGTGACTGGAATATAGTGAAAGAGGACAGAGAGGTAGGCAGAGACCAGATTAAGTAGGGCCTTACGGTCAGCCTTGAGGACTCTGGATTTTATTTTAATCACAATGGGGAACTATCGGAAGGTTTTGTAAGCAGTGAGTACATGATTTAGCTGCTTCTGCTATATACCATCATGCTGGTTGGTGACTGGAAAATCGATTGAATGGGGCAAGAGAAAACGCAGTGAGAGATTGCTCAGACTGAGACAGTAGTCCAGGTGAAAGATGATGGTAGCTTTCATCAGGGTTCTTACGGCGTGCATGGGTGAGAAGAATTTGGATTCAAAATACAGTTTCAAAGCAGAACCAACAGCGTTTGCTGATGCGCTGGCACAGGGTTAGGGGAATGGCAGAAGGGATTAGAATTGAACGTAAACCAGTGTGAATGGAGTTCTGGGACCTCTCCTGAGAGGCAAGGCCAGATAAAGGTCAGTAGCAACAAGCTGTGTAGACCACATGCACTACATCAAGGATTGTTTTCTCATCCTAAATGCAAAGAGATTGTGTTAAATAATATTTCAGGATGGCAGGTGGTGGGATTTGTGTTTTAGAAAAATCACTCTGGCTGTGGTTTGGGAAATTGATCAGGTGGGGGAAAGAATGTGTACAGGAAGATTTCTGAGCGAGGCTGAAAAAAAGATTATGTTGGGTTGAACTAGGTTTCTGGCAGTGGAAATGGAAAGAAATGGATGGACCTGAGAGATATTTAGAAGGCGGCGGCAGGAGATTGTGATGACTGGATATGGGCAGAGTGAGGAGGAGGAAGGAGCCCAAGATGACGTCCAAATAAGGCTTGGGTAATTGTGGATGACACTGCCTTTCATTGAGATGAGGAACCTTGGAAGAGGACTATTGGGGGAGGGGAAGATAATGAGTTTTCTTTTCAGCAAGTTGAGGTTGATAAGCCTTTGAAACATCCTGTTGGAGACTTCAGGAAAGGGCTGTGTATGAGAGTCTGATGCTCAGAGGAAAGTACGTTTAGAGTTAAGAGATACACAGTTTGAGCAATCTGCCATTGGTGAGATTGCTTGCAGAGAAGTGAGTGGGGTGAGAGAACGACTTAAGGCTAAGCTTTAAGGAATGCCCTCATGCAAAGCAGAGGAAGCTGAGCCTGCAAAGGAGATGGAGGAAGAGCTCTAAAGGGGAAGGAGGCAAACCTAGAGAAGGTAATGTTGTGGAAGTCACCAGTGGAAGGGCGTAATCAGTCATATCCACATCTGGAGATGTTGAAAGGAATGTAGGATGAAGACTGAGCCCTGTGCATTGGCTTTAGCTATGTTAATGACCTCAGAGACTTATTTTAATAGCACGATGGGGCTGGAGGCCAGACTAGGTTGAGGAGTGAATAGGGTGTAAAGAAATGAAGACAGTGAACAAAATAACCCTTTTGAGTAGTTTGCATGTGAAGAAGAGAAGGATAGGGAGGCAGTGAACAGGGCATGTGAAGTTGAGGAAGATTTTATTCTTTTTAAAAAAATTTTATTAGGGAATTAGGGGAGGGGAACAGTGTTGGGGAATTGGGGAAGGGAAACAGACAAGTTGCTGTCCTTTTGTTCTTCAGTCTAGTTGTGGAGGACTTTGCTTCACTGGCCCCTGTTAGTGTTATCATTGCACTCTTCCCGGGTGAGGCAGATCGGTCGCCCGCCTCTGGACGGCCACTCATGCCGGCTCTTGGCAGCTCACACTGGCTGCCGGCCACTCACGCTGGCTGCTGGCCACACACGGTAGCCCATGGCAACCCACTGCAGCAGGGGCTGCAGCCCACGCCATTGCCGGTGACTCACGGCAGCCCAGTTCCAGGTCGAGCTGTTGTTCAGCATCTTAGCTGTAGAAGGCGCAGCGTCACTTGTCCTCATACGTGGGATGCAAACCGGGACCCTGCTGCTCAGAACTGGCATCCCAAGTCAGCTCTTAACCAATGTGCCACTCGGCCAGCCCAGATTTTATTCATTTTTAAGAAATGGTTTTCAAATAGGAAAAATCCAGATGAGAGAGAGAGAGAGAGAGAGAGAGAGAGAGA